TAGGCATTAAATAATGCATTTCACACAGCATAGATATTAATTATATTATATTTCAATAATTAGGCATTTGTGGCCTGATTCTGCAGATCTTCTCCTCCAGTGGGAGTTTTGAGTAAGTATCACATGGCTGAGCCTTGATGTAATGTTGCTACAAAAAGTACAGAAGAATCATGCCTTAGATCCCTTAGCCTTACAAACAAGCTACATGGAAACAGAGCCCCTTTGATATTAATGTAGCACAGGGAGGTACATAAGTGGAAACCACTGCAAGTTCCGGGCTCAAGTGTTTCATTACAAAGTTAAAAAGACCATTTAGGCAAAAAAATCCTCCATGTTACATGAACATTTAAAATGAAACGAGGCTCATTTTCCAAACAAGATGGCTTCACCTTGAAAACAGAGAAATTCAGGGTTTTTTTCACATCTTCATTATGAAAACACCCATTTTCATTACACTTTGTGTAAAGCAAACATTGAGTGGTGAAACTGAAGAACACCAAATGCTACATTTTTGCATGCCATTACACCAAACAAACATTTTAATTCCGAACCACTCGTTCCCTTAGGACACTCCTCCTTATGAAAGAAGCTAGCTGAAGGAAACACCTCATTGTCCTCTGAAGTTTAAAAAGGACACTATGAAGAGTATGAATACCGGGGTCACTCTCCATACATCACCCATACAATATCTCCTTCTCCAAAACTCTCCTCCCATTTCCTAGGGCCTGTCATTAAACTTCTGCGTCAGATACATCACAGAAGAGGTAGGGCTGTGTTCACAAAGAGTTCTCTATGCAGTACACCAACGTGAACTTAACTCTCTGTCCCCATCGCTGATTATTCTACATCCTCACATGTCCCATGCATAGTGCTGCACAAGCATGCTCCTTAGAATTGAGCTCGGTGCCATATGAGGGCACACACACTCCTGAACAATCCCAAGAACCCTTTATGCTATAGTGTTTCTGCTGCTAAGAGGACCTCTGAATCTAGAGAAGAGGGAGCAGGAGGCTGGATTTGCCCTTAAATGCCATTTGTTCCTAACAGACAGCTGAGGCTTTGATCTCCCATCATGTTCCCTATTTTAGAGGTAAAACTCCCTCTATAATTTGTGTAATCTTCCCCTAATCTCTAACATCTAAATCTGGCTAAAACTAGATAAAATTGAAAAATTGCCATGATAATTACTAGCTCATGAAAAAGAAGTTTACCTGCTCGTTTTCATGACAAAAATAGCCACTGTAAAAATTTAATTACTGACCTCTGCTTATGGGCGGGCAATCTTTTACAAAATTGATCTGAACTCTGATAGGGTGAAAACATGCATATGTAGCAGGATAGATGAGTGGGCAGAACTGTTCTTCAAAAACAAAATGCTGGGAGGAACAGTCCCCCATTTTAAAAGAAATAGGCATTGTTCAGCATGTTTAGATTTTAAATTCATATTTTAATTAGGATTGGGGTTGGAGAGCTGAGAAAAGTATATAAGAATCCAAATTATTTCTTTACTGAGACAAAGGCTTCATCTACATGAGCACTTTTGTTGTCAAAACTTTTGTCCATCAGTGGCATGAAAAAAACCCACCCCCCAAGTGACATACATTTCACCAACAAAAGCACCAGAATGAACAACAGAGAGTGGAGACACTCTCCTGCCACCTGTGGAAAGCTTAATTATGCTAGCAGGAGAGATCTCCCCTTCTGGCATCGACAAGCTACATGGGACCCCTTACAGTGGGGCAGCTACAGCAGTACAGCTACACCACTGCAAGGTGCATACTGTAGATGTGGTCAAAGTGAGTGAAGTAATATCTTTTTTTGCATCAACTTCTTGTGATGAGAGAAGTTTTAGGCAATACAGAACTCTTCAGCACTGGGAAAGATACTCCTAGCTTCAAAACTAAATGCAAGGTGCAACAGACTGTTTAACATTAAGTAATCAGCACACGTTAGGGGATCATTCAAGGTAGTGTGAGCCACTGGGGAGATGATGCTCTGATTCCCTGTTTCTGTGCTCTGTGTGATTTGAAAGTTTCTCTCACTAAAAGAAGTTGGTAAAAAAAACAAATCACCTTAGCTACCTTGTCTTTAATATTCTAGGATTAACACAGTTACAACCACACTACATACAGGGGAGCAGACAGACTCGCTGGGTGCCTGAGCAAGGAGGAACGGCCGGCTCCACACTCTCAGAAGGGGCCGGGCCTCGGGCAGAAGTGGCAAGGCCAGGGGTCTGTCAGCCCTCGACGCCCTTGGGACTGCTGCATGCCCCACCAGCCCGTAGCACTGCCTGCAGCATGCCACATGGTGCTCCACCAGCAAGTTAGAGGCTCGGGACTCCAGCCACCACCAATGCCGCAGTGGCTTCAAATACCTTTATAATCAGTATTGAAAATTTTGTCCTTACAACATTTACAGACACAAAACAGAAAATGTGCTTTACTGTAAATACCAGAAGTTTCCTTACAGCTTCATTCATGTTAGAATCTCTTTATAATGTAATTATTATACTTTAGTATTAAAATGTTTTAAAATCCATGAAAAACTTCAGACTAAAGTGTTGGCCTGTTGCTCCTGTAAACATCACCACATCATCTTTGTGGTTTCCCTACTTTAATAGCATTTATATCTGCACAGACAATTATTCAACCACTGAATGGATGAGACTGCACAAGATTGGAGAAATAAAATAAAAGATTTCTAATGTCTCCAGTCACTAAGCCCTGTAATTGTTTCCATGAATACACCACTCCCTGTTAGCTCAGCTCCCCACTAAATATTGCACGAGGTGGTTCTTTACAAGCAATAGCAGCTTTAAAATCTAATTGTGAAATAATGTTATTTTGTCTTGAATTATCCAATGTAAATTGTTTTGGATACAATACATCTTCAGTTTTAATGAATTTCCTGCATTAAAAGTACAATCTCAAAGTACGCCGAAGTTGTAATGCTCTCCTTTTGGATTTAATGCGCTCCTTCTTATGGTCTAATAATGATGCGCAGAAAGAATATCAAGTTAAATTCTCCAGTAAAGCTGGGCCACATTTTTCAGTCAAAACATTTTTACCATGGACAAGATGCAGATTTTGCAACACCAAAATGCTGTGTCAAAGTCATGTCTATTTCACCAAACTATTTCAGCTAAATGTTTTTAAAAGTTGAAATGATGTGTTGACTTTGTTTTGAATTTCCCCCTCTTTTTTCTTCTGTTAGAAATGTTCCTCCCTTCAGGAACACCTTAATAAATACATAATGTACACATCCTCAACTTTCACCAAATCCTAGTTGGTAAGTAAAAATTAAGTGGAACATATTCAGTTGAAACACTTCTGGTATACTGACTGATAATTGGCTGTTTTAAAGTTAGTGATAGTCTGTCATTTTCTTTTCTAATTTACAATTTCCTAAGCTCCCTCAAATATAGTTCAAATTAACTATCACCAAAGTAGGCTCTCCACATGGCTGTCCTAGTTTTCCACTATCAGAGTGCATTAACTCTTTTGTTTCCTCATTAGATCATATCCACCTAATTAATCATTATGATGGATCTATTTCCTTTAATCTCCGTTAAACATTTGTTTAGTTGTCTTGCTTTTCTTTAACTTCCCCCTTTTCCAGCTGCACTTCCCTTCTTTCTCCTCTGGGAAAAAAACAAAACAAAACAAAACAGCTGTCTCTGCCACACATTACATAAGTAGCAACTGAAGGTTCCTGTTATAAACCTTAATTCTGTTTAGTCAGATGGACTAAACGAATCTTCTCAGCTCCAGGTCTAACCCTTAACAGACAAGTCAGAGATTCTGAGAAGGTGCCGATTTAGTGATCAGAGCTCCAATTGACAAATGAGCTGGTGAATCCAATGGTAAAGACCTCAGTTATAAATTGCTATACTCCAGCATAGAGCTGATTTTCTCTGACCTTGTCCTTCCCATCGTCCCTCCACTAACCATCAGTCCCTAGATTTTTATAGGCACAAAGACAACTGTTTCTTCCCGGACTTCTGTAATGTCATCTTAATATTTGGTACATCCAGCAAGACTGGATCAAAGAAGCCGTTTCCCCTCTCTAGCAGTTTTGAACCCTGGATACTTCTTCCTGTGTCAGTCTGAGCTATTACTTATTTCAATAAAACTGTGAGACGTTATCTTCATTAAACCTAGGCTTCCAGGCTTAATTTTTTCCGCAGATGTGCTGTCATACTTTGCTTGAGGTCTGGATAGTAAATTACAAGACACGTCAATGTAAAGTAGCAATGAAATCATTTATCATTAACTTGAAGAGGCACATTATTCAACTGAAGAAGATGAGTGTTTTATGAAATACAAAGGATGAGATCATGATTTAGTGACTGGTAGAAGTGCTCATTTTCCTAAATATAGAAGTGTACTTTTATGCATAATGGTGGATTAAAGTATAAGCAGTCTAAATAATTTTCTGGGATAATGTTTTCATGTCAGCTATCAGTGTTAAAATTGTTCTACATGACTTATTACTTGTTGGTGGAAGACTCTTCCTAACGTTCAGCTATTATTTTTGTCTCTATACTAGTGCAATTATGCCCCTTATACATCGCCTCATTACCACAGAGGTTCTTTGCAGGGATGTCAGAAAAAAAGGGCTTAAATGTGTTTAAAGCTCTCCACATTTCAAGGGGTTTGGTTATTTGAAACACGGGGATTTCTAAACAAAGACTTTAACAAGTCTAGAGGTAATTATTTCAATAATTTCTTGACACAGTCATCAATACATTACTTGCCTTACGGAAATTATCCTTGCTTAGAGAGATCATTTGTGCAGACAATTTAATGGAATAATGTTATTGCTGGAACTAATAGTGTAAACATCGAAGATGTGCTCAGTGTGGGAAAACAAGGTATCAAACACAAGCCTAAACTGAATCTAAACACATTCCCAAGTTACCAATTACTAGAAAAGATTAATGATGAGACTCCACTGTTCTTGTAGCACAATCATTGTAAAGAGCACTGAAGTAACAATACCTTTTCCAGCTGGTAAATTCCCTCCTCCACACAGCATATGGATGCCAGTGTTCTAAGAGTCTGGGGATAAAGGCACCTGAAACAATCTTGGCGGCAGATCTTAAAGAGAGCGATAACACCTCCTTCCTGAAAAAGGAAAGCAAAAATCAAGTAATCAACTCTAAATAATACTTGGTACTTAATTGTTCTTTTTGAAAGATCAGGGATAATACATGTTCTTTTGGTAATTTCTCTGCCACAAAAATACAAAAAAGGTTGTTAAGATCACACAGATGAGCGCTTATGAACTAGGAGATGAAAGAGTAATGTAGTCTTAGTGGGAGGTGTGCTTTAACTATTGACTTTTAACATTTACAAACTCCGTTTTAATTAAACTTGGCATACAAATAAAAATTATATACAGAATGATCATTAGAATTTACAGGGTTTGGGTGGTGGCAATATTTGATTGAAAAAAATAGCCGGGAAAAAGAAATAGTTCGGCCAGCAAATGGTGGTTTTAGGGCAAAAATAAGAAACCCTTTTACAATCTTACACACATACACACACACGTGTCATAATTGGCCTCTGCCAAAATGTTACTGGGATATACTGGAGATGTTCCCTACAAGAGATTATCCTTAGAATATTTTCAATTTTGCCTTTATAACTTTAGATCACATTATGGCACTTTTCATTACTATTCCAAAAGAATACTAAGGTAACACTAGATTTCAAACTCCAGGATTTCACAGGAGAGGCAAACTGTTCATTCTGAGGCCCAGTGACTGAAGAGAAGATTCAAAGCATTAAGTCCAACTAGGAATGTCTAGGAGTTAGGAACGATAACTGTTGAAAGAGAAGTGTGGAGAAACAGATTTCAAAAGGAAAACTGCACAAGAAAAGTGACTGGATCTGGGGAAGACATTGATGAAATTATGTAAACCTGAACAAAGATCTGGGTTCTGGTTGGGCAATGGGCAAAGCTTTAGCTCTTACTTTGCCTAAACAAATTTTCCCATTCCCAACATAATCCTGTGGTGTTTTGTGCAGTCTTCTCACCAAGTTTCTTGGTCTAAGCAGAGATTTTATATTATATATATATATATTTAAAAAAAAGGTTGGGGGAAACTATCCCAAAAGAATATTCATGAAAGTATTGGATACATTCTGTTAAAATAGAGTTAATGAGAGCAGCTACAAGAAAGCTTAAGAGAGAAAAGTTGACTTTGAAGTTATAGGCATTGGGACTTTAAGAACTGGGTTCACTTCCCAACCCTGCCACACACTTGCTTGGGTGACCTTGGGCAACTCCCTCCTTCCCTTTGTGACTTAGTGTCTCCATTTTGCCGGTGGGAAACTAACATCTCCTCTCTCCTACTCTATCAGTTTTTTTACATGTATCTATTTACATGATAAATTTGAGGCATAAAACGTTTCTGACTACCTTTATACAGATCTTGGTTGGGACCTGAAAGTGCTGCCATAAAAAAAATAAGAGTCACATACTATATGACTCTTGCATAATGTTCCAAATTCAAGAGATAAAAGCTAATTCTGTCACTGATTAATCAGAAGTATTATTAAACCTTACTATTCTATTATATATATTGAAGAGTTTATTTATGCAAAATAAAGTCATACTTCACGATTACCTACAGATACCAAATTTTGCATAAACAATCCTGCTACTTAAATTAGCTGAACACACTACTTTTTACACTGGAATATGTTGGGTAAAAAGTTTACATTATTATTTTTGTTTTTTATCAGAAAAAAGTCATGACTATTATGATTAGAGTTCATAAAAATATTTGCTAACAAAATTAAAATTGAGTTGTCTAGTCAACTGTCATTTTAGTGCAAAGAAAATTTTTACTGTTTCAAATCAGAAAATGACTCAAATTAGTTAAGGGAAGAATTAGTTATGGAAAATTTGGAGTTTCTGATTCAAATGTACTATGTATGGTAATTATTCAATAAAATGAATAATGTTTAAAGTTGAAATCTACAAATTTAAAACTGTTCTTTTACTTCTCTCTTGCAAGCACAATAATAAATAAACTCCATTACATGTATTTAATGTCTTGAACTTTCCTATAAGGGTACGTCTAAACTTTTGAAACAGTGTCTTTCGAAAAAGAGCATCTAGACTACATTATGCGGATCGGAAAATCGATCTGCTTTTTCGAAAAAGAGCGTCCTGACTGCTGGATGCTCTTTTGAAAGAAAAAGCTACCCGGAACTGCTTCTGCCAGGGCATGGGGGCAGCATTTCCTTCCGGGTGCTGCTGCCTGCTCTTTGCAGAGACGCGTGCTTAAAGGGATGCCCCGAACACCTGTTGCTCTGCTCCTGCAGAGCAGTTCTAGGAGGTAAGCAAGGTATTACAGTTCTTGTTTGGAGTGCCCAGCTTCCTGGGACACATCAGCAGGTTTTTTGTTTGGAGGTTTTTCTGATTTAGACCCCTTTTTTTTGGCATGGAGCCAGAGCTGCCCCTGGACAGGCAATGGCCCCACGCCATCATACTGCAAGTTTTGCTGCATCTGCATGACACAGTCATGAGGCTACTTCCCCATCTGGACCCAGACCAGAGGTATGAAGCCCCACTGCCCTTGCCTCTAAACTTCTTCATGGAGAGGCATTTTTGGAGGCTTGACACCAGCTCTGACTGGTGGAACTGGCTCGTTATGGAGCTCTGCGATGACCAGGAGTGGCTCTGCAACTTCTGGATGCAGAAGGCCACTTTACAGAGCTGTGTACCTAGCTCGCCCGGCTCTGCAACGGCAGGACACCCATCTGCGGCCTGCCATCCCCTGGAAAAGAAGGTCGCTATTGCCCTCTGGAAGCTAGACACCCCCGACAGCTACCACTCCATGGGACACCAGTTTGGAGTGGGCAGGTCTACTGTTGGGTCCATCCTGATGGAGGTAAGTCATTGTCGGGGGACAGTCACAGTTTAGGGGGGAGAAACGGAGACTGTCAGGAAAGGGCAAGGCGGAGTGGGGGATGGGGTGGAGTGGGGTGGGGTGGGAGTGGAAGGGAGCTTCTCCACTCACCCTGAGCTGCTGGGGAAGGGGGAGTTCTGAGGAGGGGATTCCCGGAGTGTTTAAGGAGGAAGATGGGTGGTGGGTTCTCCTCCTAAGAGATAGGGCACCCCTTCTAAAATTTTGTTGTCTGTCTATTTGTCTCTTTCTGCAGGTGGTGAGGGCCATCAGTTCTGAGCTGCTGAACAGGCTCGTCCATCTAGCAGACCTGGACAGCATCGTGGCCGGCTCTGCTGCCCTTGGCTTCCCAAATTGTGGAGGAGCGCTCGATAAGACACACATTCCAATCCGTGCACTGCCCCGTCGAGCAGCCCAATTCATTAACAGAAAGAGCAACTTTTCAATGGTCCTCCAGGCCCTGGTCGACCATCGTGGCCAGTTTACTGATATTTGTGTTGGGTGGTCGGGGTGGACACATGATGCCTGCACCTTCAGGAACTTGTGCCTCTACCAGAGGCTTCAGGCAGGAATATTTTTCCCGCATCGTGACTTTGCGGTTGGGGACATGCATATGCCAGTGTGCATAGTGGCTGATGCCGTGGCTGATGAAGCCCTACACCGGCCACCTGGATGCATGCAAGGAGCAGTTTAATACTCATCTTAACTGGGCTCGCAACCAGGTGGAATGTGCATTCGGACGTTTAAAAGGGAGATTCCAGTGCTTGCTCACAGAGCTAGACATGGGGGAATGCAATATCACTGAGGTGGTGGCTGCGTGTTGCGTTCTCCATAACCTGGTGGAGAGGAAAGGGGAGGCCTTCCTACCAGGGTGGGGTACAGGTGCTGATGGTCAGGAGAGGCACTTTGACCAGCCCCGGACAGCTGCCATCCACCAGGCTCACCTGTTCGCATCCAAGAGACTCTTTGTGAGCGATTCTCTATTGGAGGCCACTGACTCTCCTGAGGGGCTCCTGTCTGGGGGCTTGGCCCTGGCCCAATACAAGCTTCCCTCCTCAACACTTATCCTGACCCTGTCTGTAGAAATAATAAACACCAGGGTTTGTCTGAAAAGAGTAACTTCTGTTTTATTGTTATAAATATCAATAACTGAAAGAATGTATAACTGTTGCAAACATAAAAAAGCTTTTGTTTATTGCACATAGTTTTTCCTCAAAATATACTTTCTCCATCAAAAATAAACATTTTCTTAAATACCAAACACTGTGTTTAACTGGGATGGTGGGGGTGCTTGAAACCTGGAGGGCGGAAGGGGACTTGAAACCTGGATGGGGGAAGAGGATCAGGTTGGATGGTGCTTTCCTGATTGCAGTTTCCTGCTGGTGCCTCATGTTCAGGGTCCACCATGGCCTCAGGATCCGGTGTGGCGACTGTCTGTTGGCTGGACAGGTGGCATTTCTTAAAACATTCTCTCTCTGAGTGCTGAGTTAGTTACTGTTATAGTTACAATGCTTCACTTTGCGATTAGGGTTACGTGCTTCACAATGCTTTGAAGAGAACGGTTGTCAATTGTGTAACAGTAAGTTTGAGCGTGCCCTGGCGCACAGAGAGGGGAGCTGTTTCTGGCAGGGAGAGAGGGAGGTCCAAGGGGGGGAAAGGGCTGCTGTTGTGGAAGGGGGGTTTGGTGGGGTGGGGTTATGGGGTGCTGGAGGAGCAGGACCAGGCACAGGAGCAGGCAAGCCACAGACCTCCCTGAGAGTGGCACACAGGGACGTGCGCTGCTGGACAAGCTCCTCCATCAGCCGATCATGCCACCGAGCCTCTGCCTCCGTCCTCTCTCGCAGGATGGTGTTGAGCTCCTGCACAGCCGCCACATGCTGCCTCAAGATGTCTGCATAGACACGCCTGTGTCTGCGGCTCCCATGTCCCTGGGATGGAGGTGGGGCTGGGGTGCTGCAGCCCTCTTGCACAGCTGGTCCGGCTGTGGAGGAAAAGACACAATCAGTCATGTGTGCAACAGCTGTCCAAAATGGCATGCCCTCTCCTTCAGACAGAGGACTCAGACATTCTGAATGTAACACCATGTGTGACCTGGGCATCAGCCTGAGCATCACAGGGGTCCCAAAGTGCCAATGAGACCTCGCACTGACAACCCACCTGGGTGTGTTCTGGACATGGTTTATGCCACCACGTGGCGCACCCCCA